ATTCAGCCCATCGAACGACTGCCTATTAATGATTTTCACTGCTTTGTACTTTTGTCTACGCAAAAATGGTCTCAAAATTGGCCAACAGTTAAAAATTTCACGCACCATCGCATGAAAACTGAATTCGAAACCTTGAAGGGTGAATATCTTTCCGAGATTTCCTAGTTAATAGTTTAGCCGGCAAAATTCTCACGAGGTCATAGGTGATACTCAACAGCGAGGGAACGCTGGATTTGAATAGGCAAGGTTGAGCGTAGGCAGAGGTATTACCGTTAAATTTCAGCTCCCTAGACCCCGTAGTTCCTGAGATATTAATTTACCCGTAAAAAACTTTCACGGGGCCGTACGAGTTGCCCACGGGTACGGGAAGGCTGAATTTAAATTCGCCGCGTCACCAGTTGGTGGGGAACACTATACCAAAATTTCACCCGTCTAGCTTTTGTGGTTCCCGAGTTGAAAGTGAGGGACAAAATGTGGGGCACACACAAACACACACACACGCACAGACAACCCCGTGACAATATGCGTTTTGTAACGCTGTTATACAGCACAAAACGCAAAATCGCTAAAAGCAGCAAGTCGAGCGCCAGATGATGCTACATTTTTGCCCACAACAATCATGGAAAAACCACTATGCAGCGAAAATATATCGTCAAAATAGCGAAAATATGTCGCTAACATACGAAAATATATTATCAATAAGACTGCTGATAATTCCCGTAGCGAGGTATCGGGCGAACAAAACCAAACTTACCAAACGCGGATCAAGCGGCCCATATGGGACAGGATTCCAGCATCCCGGACTTTCGTCGTACAGTCTGCTGTTGAAAACCGGAATATGGGCCACCTGTTTCATCGATTCCGCATCACCAGCAACAAACTGCACGCGGCTTCTGCAAACACACGGGGAAAAGTGTGAAAAATCGGCAAAAAAACAGCAGCAAGCAAATGCTCTTACGGGCCCTGTTCATCAAAATGTCTATCATACGTAATAATTGACCAACGCACGGGCTGCCCGTGCGAAGGTGCGTTTTCTGCATAGTTTCCCGCAGCTTTTGTCGCTACCGGCATCGGTTTTTTCAGCACATGCTTCTAGCTGAACAAATTAAGACTGGCCGCCAGAACTGGCAGGAAACAGCCCCTTAAAATCTCAGCTTTCTAGCCTTCCTGGCTCCTGAGTTATCACCTACTTGGACGGGGAACGTCTTCCTAACATTTCAGTATCCTAGCTTCTCAGATCCCCGAGTTATGAACTTACCCGAGAAAAATTTTGGCGGGCCCATACCACGCTTACCCAGGGGATGGGTTTGAGTGAATTAACACCCAGCTGGAAGGGGAACGTTACTCTAAGACTTCAGCGCTCTAGCTTCTTAGATCCCCGAGTTATGAACTTGCCCCAAAAAAATTTTAGCGGGCCCGTGCGCGAGTACCACGCGGGTGATGGCATCAATTTTGGGGATTGGGGCCGGCATGTGCATGTAGATTAAATTCCCCAAATTTCAGCCCAGCAGCTTTTATACGTCTTGAGATGAAAGTGCATGACAGACGCACACACAGATACACGGGCACACAGGCAATCCCTCGTCAGTATGCGTTTTT